GTGTTTGTGCATAGCATAGATGACGCTGGCTGACATTCCACACACACTGTCGATCTTCGTACGCAATGGGGCGTTGACGATGCCCCAGCTCCTTCCTTCTCTCCTTCCTCTCTTTGAACACGCGAGCACTTGAGATGTCTGTCTAGATGCCTAGATGTCTAGATGGATGGATGGCCTTTTTCCCTTTTTCGAAGCGGACAAACAAGGGGGGAGGGCGGGGGGGGTGGGGTGGGGGCCGGTCCACCCAGTGACGACCGTCACCAAGCCGCCACAGGCAGCCCACTTGTGTGCATTGGTTGGCTTCATTGTGCGTCTGTCCGTCTGTCTGTCTGTCTGGTGTGCAGTTTATTTCCCTCACTCCCTGCCTGTCTGTACGTCTGTTTTGTGACTGCTGCATAGCTCACGTAGATAGGGTGTGGCTGATGGGGTCTGTGGTCTGTCGGTGATGGTACTGTATGGTGTGTTGTGGTTAGTCAGCCCCTCGCACTGCTCCTGCAGGGCTGTCCGTCAGTCAAGCGACGCTGACACGACTTTGACACCGATGCTTTGCGCACTGGGCGGTTGGTTGAGTGGGTGGACAGGAGAGAGCTAGAGGTCGGTCGGGTGCGAGGGCCCGCGGTGACGACAAACAGCGGTGGTCTCTCTGAGGTATTGGTTGCCTCGCATGGGTGAGTGGCTGAGTGGATGGATGCCCGCACCATGTGCCGTGTGCCTATTTCTTCAATTGTCACTCGCCGGGAGACAGACCCTTTGTATCATCTACGAGTGACGGCGTTGCGTATCTGTGTGAGAGAGACAGACGGTGTCATAAACACGTGATAAATGTATACGCACGCGCACCACACAGGACAATCAGTCGTGTCCGCGATGCACGCCACGCACACGTACACACACACATACACACATTCATGCATATGCAGGTCTGCATAAACAATACCACACCAGCCCTACCTATACAGACGCGCGCACACACACAGAGAGACATACACACACAGAGTGAGGCCTCGATGAGGTCTTCCTGCTCGAGCCGCGGCCGCTGACAGCCGGGTGTGTGTAGGGGGTCACGCGGAGACCAGCAGGCATGTCAGCACTCCATCCATCAAAAGACCCTCCCCCCTCCCTGTCTCCCTCTACATGATGATCGAGTGGTCTGCCACCTACCTTGGCCTCGCTCTACATACAATATGGCAGGCAGACAGGAACTCTATACAGAATGATGAATAAAGCCTCGCACTGTCGCGCTGTGCTGATTAGGCCCTACCAAAATATCACTGCCTACACGCGCAACGCAGCTGCCAGCCCTGCCCTCCTCTACCTGCCCCCATCCCTTTTCGAAACAAGTGCACAGCCAATGCACAGCCAGGCGCACAAAAACAAAGCGGCGCCCGTACACACACGGAGGCGTGAATGAGTGCGATAGTGTGGGCACGGGTGGGCGGGGCTACACGTCAAACTCCTCATCGAAGTTGGGCGGGGCCTTCTTGCCGCCCCACTTGATCGACGTCGACACGTGCCACGTGTATACCTGACACACACACACACACACACACAGAGGGAAAGATCCATTCATGTGTAGAGAAATGACAAGCTGCCCTGCTGCCTGTCCATCCACCCACCCATCACACTGCACGCACACGTACCTTTGTGCAGTTGTCCGCGAGAGGTTCCACGTCGTATCTGCTGACGTTGGTCTGTTTGAGGAAGTCGGTCTCGAGGTGGCACATTTTGCTGTGGGGGTTGAACATCACAGGCGGCTCGTGCAGCAGGAAGCGCACGTGCATACCGAACCCAGCCGTGTCAATCGGATACGGCCGCTGAGACTGCACACAACACAACGACCACACCCACACACGGACGGCGAGAGATGAGCATGGATGTTTGTCGCCGTGTGTCTGTGTTTGTGTGGTCGCTCACCGCCCATGCCTTGTATCCCTTGATTTTGCCGGTGGTGGGGTCGACTTCGCACCGCTCGGTAATCCGCTGCCCAGAGAGAGCCACGGGCCAGGTGCCGATGTTGCGCACCTTCCGCAGCTCGTCCAGGATGCGCACGTCATACGCATTGTCGTCGTCAGCGAAGTACACCACCGCATCCTGATTGCACATCCACACACAGAGAGAGGTACACACAGGCATCCCACCCACGTGTCTGTCCAGCACAGAGTGCACGCACCTCATAAGCCTTCCTGAGTTCTGAATCGGTCTCGTTGAAGACGATCTCGCGGATGGTGCGTATGCCCTCGTTCCTCTGCTCGCTGCCCTTGACTTTGAGGCCAGCGGTGGTCCTGACGTGCCGGTGCGACCAGTGCAGCAGCGTGCTCTCATTCAGCACCCTCTCAACCTTGGCGGTGTTGTTCATGCTGTCCTCGACGACAATCATGTGCACATTGGCAGATAAAGCGAATGTGTTGAACAGCCGCGTCAGGTCCAGCTTCTGCGTCACGCGCCGGTAGGTGGGCGTCACAGTGAACACCCACCGCAGGCCGGGCACCCACTGGGTGCTGGGGGACAGCGACGGCGACCTGGACTCGCGGAATGTGTGATGGGCGGCCAAATGCGGGTTGCGATCTGCCCTCCTGCGCATTGCTGGGGTGGTCGTCGAGTCCGCCAGGAGTCTGTAGAGCTCCTCAAGATGGGACAGTCTCGTGGCCACGGCAGTCTCCTTGGTGCTCACGGTGTCGCCCAGCTGCGCCATGAGGTGCTCGAGCTGCAGCAGCCGCTGGCTCTGCCCGCTGTTGGCGTACTTGGTGCCCTCGAGCATTACCCGCAGGTTGGCCAGCTGCGTCATGATGACCGGGTCGGTGGGGCGGGGTTCGTCCTTGACCCGTGAGAACTGCCACAGGAGGTAAAGCGGCACCATGCAGAGGATGACCAGCAGGAGGGCGGGGACGTAGCGGAGGCTGGGGCGCATGATGGGGGGAGCCGCCCGCATCATCAAGGTGTGAGGGGAGTGGTGCCGCTGGCTTTTGCCAGGGCTGCCGTCGTCCTCGGTCAGCCGGGGTGGGTGGGCGGCGGTGGCGCCATTGTTGTGGTGGGCAGGCGAGAAGGGGGTTCTCCTCGCTTGCCGGCTGCCGTCAGGCGACACGTTGGCTCCAAACGGGGAGAACAGCAGCCGCGCCTGCAGCCCGGCGAGGAGTTGGGGAGAAGCCACCGCAGCGAAAAATGAAGCGGCCGCAGCTACTCAGAGCCAAAACTAGCCAGAAGCCGCCGGAGAGCCGATTTCCTTTTTAATCCTCCTGAAAAGCGAGCTTTTTTGCGAGCTGAGCTGCTGGAGAACGGATTTCGCGCTCTGGGGTGTCTGGCATGAGCTAGGGGTGCCTTCTAACATGAGGATTCTTGTATTCATCTTATTCTGCAGTGGCGCCTTTCCTCTTCTTGCCCGAGGGGCCGTGAGGCGTGGGGCTTTTCAAGACTACCACGATGATGTCCTTCGGCGGCTCCAATTAACAACAGACTCGCCAGCATCCACCACAGCCTCTCCTTCTCAGTTCCCCTTGGATGAGTCCAACTCGACAGCAACCCCCACAATGGCAGATGAGGGCCTCTCCTCCCCATCGCCGGAACCGACCAGTGCAAACGAGACGGCGACGCCGGCAGCACCATCAGAGAATGTCACATCAGGGGCTGAGAGCACGCCCATGACGGAAGAAGGCCTACCCATGACTCCCATCCCATCATCAACCACACCCCCAAATGCGACGGAGGGAGGCGGTGGCGGTCAGGGCGGCAAAGAGGAAGACACGGACCAGGACCAGTTCCGCAACAGAGGCGCTGCTGTGCTGGCTGTGGTGGGGGTGTTGCTCGTGGCCATGTGCGGGTACTATTGCGCCTACACGGGCGCATGCATGAAGGCTTATCGGTTATGCCAGAGGCGCGTGTTTGGCCGGAGTCTGCTGAGGGGCTATCAGGACCTGCCAGAGGAGAGGGAGCCAGCGAGGGCCAGGAGGGCGAGAAGGAGCGTTGAACACAGGACGGCACCGCCTCGGCAGATCATTGGGAAGCCGCGGGCGGTTCACCTGGAGATGGTTTGAGGGTGGGAGTCGGCTACCGAGTGCCTGTCTGCGTGTGTTGGTGAGTGCCTGTCTGTCTGCGTGTGTTGGTGCCCCCCGAACCACTCATTCGTGTATGTGAATATGTCTCTGCTGCTGTTGGTGTTGGTGGTGCGTCTGTGTATAAGATCTTGGCCTCGGCCATCGTTTGAGCCTTGTGATGCTGGTGTCTGTGCGTGTGTACCCTTGGACCCCGCTGATGTTTTTTGACACGGTCACAGATACAGAGAGATGGCCGAATCGTTCAATTTATAACCGACTGTGTTACCAGGACAGACGTGTCGATGAAATGACTCAATCAAGGAGTGGATGAGTGGATGGACGAAAGATGGTTTTGATCGATTGCTTCAACGAGGTGTGTGTGTCTCACTCTCACACGCCACAGCCAGGCAGCGAATGTCATGGTTGATGACACAAATCTGTCCATCCACCCAGCACCCAGGGTCTCAATCACTCACAAACACACACGCACACACACTTATGGACAGCAGCTGACATCCATCCATCCCATCCATCAAACACATCGCATACATGCACGGATGACCCTCACTTCAGCAGTCCCGTAGGGGGTCCTTGTCACCTGGGTACAACTCGGATGCGAGTCGTTCTTTGCCTGTGTCTGGTGGGTCATCGATGAGCATTGGGGCAGCAAGTGATATGGCTGGTGCGAGGCCGGGGACAGGGACGTGGGCGCGAGCATCCGGGTCGGCCAGGGGGAGACCCGGCACAGCACGTTGGCTGCTCTCGCGTGGGCCTCTGGATGGGTGTGTGGTTGGATGTGTGTATGGTGGCACTCGTGTGTGTGCGTGTGTGTGTGTGTGTGTGATAATTTGAGCAGTGGCTGCATGAGTGTGTCGCGTCTGTGCATGGTTCAAGGACTGGATCTGTCAAAGGCTGAACAGGCTCTTGCTGAATTCTGGAAGCGCCGGAGCGCCAATGTTTTACGGAACATTATCCGTTCACTGGCTGAAGCTAATGCAGAGCTCACAGTGGACTGTGCAGTGTATCAGTCCAAAGCCCTTTCCTGAGTTGCAATGGCCCATCGACCAGCCACGCGATGAGTTCGCGCCACACATATCAACACACCCCCTCTCGCGCCTCGGCGCGTGTGCTCACTGCAAAGACACACATGTCGCGGATGGCTCCTTGCGGGCGTCAGCCGGTCGTTGCTCCTGGTTGGCCCAACCCACCAATGACCAACCATACTGGGAGTGAGAGCGCTCGTGCATCGTACGAGAGTGCGTGGGACTCTCCACATGCCAGACCACCACAGGAACGTTGTGGAACGTTGTGTGCACAGAGTAACCCATTCACTCCTGTGCAGCAGAGGGCGGGAGCCCGTCGCTGTTGCCCCCACGCGAGATGAGACGCCTCCTGCGTCTGCCGCCACGCGGCCTGCGTAAACATGGCCTCTCGCGTCTCGGTCCATCACCAAATTGGACCTTTCGGCCGACTTCGGCTCGCAGGGCAATGCTCCCCCTCTCAAGTTCAGACCCATTTGGCCGTAGGTCAATGAACTTCGAGCACAAATAGTTGTGTCTCGCTGCTGGCAGGGGTTTGGTCAAGATGTCGGCTGGGTTTTCCTTCCCGTCCACGCGACAAATCTTGAACCCCTCCACTTCGACTGTCTGTCTCAGCGCCAGATAGTCAAGAGGAATGTAGTTCTTCCCTTTCGTCTTCTTCTCTTGGGGATGGGCCGTCAGCGTCCTCGCTGCATCATTGTCCGTGTACAACTCCACCGAACTGACCTTCCTCCCGAGTTCTCCCAGGAACTCCTTGAGTGCCAGCAGGTGTTGCGATGCATTCTACAGCGCGACATACTCGGCCACCATCGTGCTCCCCGTTATGTAGGTCTGCTTCTTACACGACCACGAAACCAGACAGTCATTGAGGAACGTCAGGTATCCACCTGTGCTCGTTCCGTCCTCATTGTCGCCGAGACTTGAGTCGGCGTAGCACGTCAGCCTGATCTCATCTGTGCCAGACCGCTTGTACACAAGGCGAGCATCCATTGTGTCCTTCAGGTAGCGCATGAGGTGCATAAGCGCCTTCCAGTGCCATTCGCCTGGGTCATTGTTGTGCATGGCGCACTCCTTGACGGCGAATGCACAGTCTGGCCTCAATGCGCACGCCTCGTACGTCACTGAACCGACGCCTTCTCTGTAGGGCAGTCGATTCATGCGCTCTCGCTCTTCTTGTGTCTGAGGAGACTGGTCCTTGCTCAGTCGGTGCGTCTGCGGGCATGGTTGACTGACGGGCTTGGCTAGTAGCATTCGGTACTTCTCGAGCATCTTCTTGATGTATGGT